CTACAGTCCATGGGATTCTCCAGGCAAGAGTACTAGAGTGGGTTGCCATTTCCTTCTCCAGGGGATCTTCCCAACCCAGGAATCGAACCCAGGTCTCCTGCATTATAGGCGGACTCTTTACCAACTGAGCTACAAGGAAAGCAACAATTATATCCCTGGAGATTTACCCCAGAGAAATAAAAAATGATGTCCACATAAAAACCTGTACACAAATATTCATAGCAGCCTTATTTGAAATAGCCCCAAACTGGAAGCAACTCAGATGACCCTCAATGAGGGAATGGTTCAAAAAACTGTGATACATCCATAGGGATCGAACCTAGGTCTCCTGTGTTGTGGGCAGATTCTTTACCATCTGAGCCACCAAGAAAGCCCATTACCATGGAATACTACTCAGCAATAAAAAAGAATGACCTATTGATACACACTGAACTTGGATGAACTCAAGAGCATTATGTTGAGTGTAAACAGACAATATAAAAAGGTTGCATATTATATGATTCCAGTTATATAACATTCTTATAATGACACAGGTGGGGAACAGAAGAGTGATTACCAGAGGTTAGGGATGTCAGTGGTGGTGGAAAGGATGTGACTATTAAGGAAGATTTTTTAATAATGAAAGAATTTTGCATCTTAACTGTAGTGGTGGTTACAGGAGTCTACACAAGCGATAAAATGGCATAGAACTATACAGACAGGTTGTACCAATGTCAGTTTCCTGGTTTTGATACGGTACTACTACTATGTAAGATGTAACCACCAGGGTAAAGTAGATACAGGCTCCGGTGGGACCTCTCTGTGTCATCTTTGCAATTCTCTAAGAATCTATAATTATCTCAAAATAAAAAGTTTTAAAAAATCTAATGCACCCTTGAAAGTTTAACTTGGACCATAGGATTTCTTAGAATTCAAATCAAAATAAAATATATATGGTTCATTAATTTTAAAAAAGTCAATAGCCCAGTACATGAAAATTCATAGCAGCTTCATCTGTAATAACCTCACACTGGAAACAACTCAAATGTCCATATACATACAATGATATGCTACTCAGCAATAAAAATAACTATTGTTATGTGAACTACGGATACATCTGAACATAATTATGCTGAGTAACAGAAGTCAGACAAAAGAGTGCATAATGTATGACTTCACTTATAGAAAACTCTAGAAAATATATACTAATCTGCAGCAACAAAAATCAGATGAATCATTGCCTGGGGGTGGTCTTGATCATGGGGAGAGCTGGGAAGGAGGAATTACGATGGGGCAAGAAGGACCTTTTGGGAGTGATGAATATATTTACTGTCTTCACTGTGGTTTCATAGGTGTATACATATGTTAAAATTTACCAAGTTGTACAGTTTATATACATGAGGTTAACTGTATGTAACTCAGTAAGGTTTAAAAAACATCAATAGCTTACACATTCACAAATAATAACCAACTAGAATATATCAAGGAAAAGAACAACCCACTTACAATAGCAGCAAAGAAACAGGAACAAACCTAAGGAATGTGCAAAACTTGTATGATGAAAACAATAAAACATTTCTGAAAACAGTAAAACTTTCCTAACTTCAACAAAGAGAAAGAAATCTCTTCTTGAGAGGGTGATTTAATACCTTAAAGATGTTAGTTCTCCCTAAGTTAATTTACAAACCGAAAGAAATCCAAATAAAAATACTGACAAATGACTTTTTTCTGTGCTAGACACAATACTAAAATTTATATGGAAAAATAGGCATATGAGAACAGAACACGGAAAAAGAGCTTATAAAGGAAACTAGCTGTAATTTATATTAAATATGCTAACAATCTTCTATAATTAAAACAGTGTGGGACTGGCATTTAAGTAGAATGATGGACCAGTGGACTAGAATATGAACAATCCTGAAATTCACTAAGTACACATGGAAATTGGGTATATGGTAAAAGGTAACTAAAATCACTGGGGCAAAGAAGGATTTTGCAACAAATTGTGTTTGGACAACTGGATAGCTATGTGAAAAACAATCAGATCCATAACTCACATCTCACCCAAGAATAAACTAAGTGAATCAGAGGATTAAATGTAAACGTTCAAATATATTAGAAGAAATTGTGTGAATTCCTCTACAACCAGGGACTAAAAGGAAGGTTTTCTAGTATGATTTAAAATCTAGATTCAATAAACTACTTGTTTAATGTATAGCTACAATGAAAATGAAAAAAACTGCATAAGTAATAACCCATAAGCAAAGTCAAAATATAAATGACAATTGCAAGCACATATTTGAAATGTATCACCAATAAAGACTAGTATCTCTAATATATTTCCTAAAAATTCAGGGTGGCGGGTGTGGGAAGGACCATAAATCTGATAGGAAAAAATGAACAAAAGGCCAAGACAACGCACAAAACAGATATAATAATGGCCCATAAATACATGGCAAAATACACAACTTCACTCATAAGAGAAATGTTAATTGAAACACCACCACGATACCATGTCACACCCTGTTAGTCAGACGGTGAGGGAATAGGCACTCCTTCAAATATCTGGGGGGAATGTAAAACAATACGAGCTTTCTGGCAAATTCTAACAAACCTATACACACATCAACCCTTGATAAGCAATCCAATTCTAAGAATTTACACTGAAGATGTACTTCCTATCGTGCAAAATGATTTACTATGGCGTTATCTGTAATTGTAAAAATAGTGGAAACTACTTAATGCCAAAATACAATAGACCGGCTGAATAAATGGTGACACATCCTTACAAGGAAGTACTGTCCAGATTTTTTTAAACAGGGTAAGCTCTGTGAATACATACAGAATGACTTTCAGAAGGGACAGATGGATGAACAGAAATGTTTTTCCCTGTTCTGATATGGGCATTAAAATTATGAAACCACTGTATGTGTGCTGTAGAACTGGGCAAAGGAGTTAATATACTGGTGTAATTGACAGGCTTCTCACTGTGGAAGAATATCCATGAAGAATATTTACATTTCACAGACAAATATAGAATAGGGAAAACAAAGAAAAACCCTGAGGGGTGTTGGAACTGGAGATTAGCAGGATGAATATGCAGGTCCCTAACACACACAGACATGTGCGCGTGCATACACACACACACATTTAGATGCATATACATGTATCATTTTTTTCCCTGGCTCTGCTGTTGGAACATCCAGAAACAATGATACTCTTGATAGCAATGAGAACATTCTAGCTCCCAGATCTTGGTTTCTAAATATTATTCCTAACTAAAAGTAAGCAAGGCTCCTCAGAGAAACAACCAATGCCAAGACCAGGGCAGGGAAAGTACAACAGTATCCTGGAGCACCTTGCTGGGCCAAAAAGTTAAAAAAAAAAAATTATAAGGACATGTCAAAGAGACAGAGAAGCTGGTTTCAAGAAATTTCCATTAGCCAAATTTAAGATATTTTGATCAAAACACTGACAGTAATGGATTATAACTCACAGAATAAAATGATCTATGAAAGATCGATAAATCAAGGGAAATTTTTTTCCCATAGTGGGCTGCCAGCTAATAAATGTACATAGAATGACAGAGTCAGAAACTCACCATTTAGCATTATGTTAAACTAAAATTTAGTTGATTCAGTCAAGAACTATCAATAGCAGACATTAAAACTAGTGGGTAGAAGTTTGGTGGAGAACAGAATATTTTTATGTAGTGTCAAAGTATCTTCCCACTAAAGTTCTTACCTTTCCTTTAAAGGAACATGATAAAGCAGGATGAAAAGGCACTAGCTTTATGAAAACCACAGTAGAGTAGCTAAAATCTGTATTTTTTTGGAAAAACACAATATCAAAACCTAAATTTTAAGTACATAAGCCAGTTTTTATCAGAAACTCCATGCTACAAAGTACTATTTATACTATAATCCTATTGTTATTAAAATTATCTATGTACTATGAATAGGCTAGAATGATAAATACCAAAATTATAAAACTGATAGTATTAAAAATTCAGGTGATTTTATTCATTTTTATGTTTTATCATATTTTCAATGTCTCTACAATAAACATGTATTACTTTTATAAGAAGAAAAAGTATGGGAAGAAAAAAACCCCACAAGGAATAAGCAGATACAACCGAAAAAAGCTGGAAAGAAATTTAAAAGCCAAGAGCATTTTGTGATTGCATGATGGCACGATGGATGATGTATTCTTTTCCCTGTTTATACCTGTGGGACTTCAGAGTTAAAAACCCTGATGCTCACAACTGATCACTTTACACATTGATTTTGCCTTTGCTGTGCACACCGAAATCTATCAACACTGCCTCTCTGATCATCTCTCCTTGAACTCCTTCCTCTTACCCCCTGGATCCTTCCTTACCTAACAAGAAACCACATTGTTTTTCTTTAAAACTTCTGCATCCACTGCTCCTGAGATTATCTGATGTCCCCTGAGCACATCCAACATCACTTGTTTCTCAAGTAGTGTTATTTTCATAGCAGCGTACAGGAGTGGATCTTTATACAATAGCAACCTCTCTGAAACATCATTTCCTACTGTAAAGTAGTTCCAAAGAATGTACACCATTGTCAGAGTGGGGAGGGGAGTTCTGATATGTCTTTTCTCCGGTAGAAATAAAATGTTTTAAAACAGCGTCACTATCTATCAGCTTTCTCTGTACTTTCTCTGTGATCAAGCGCGGTAGGGTGATGATGGTATCTGCAAGTTTCCCAAACAAAGCCTTGCGTAAAACATGCTTACTTACCCCTTGCACGGATGATCAAACTCAGCTCAGCAGGGTCCTATGGAAATGGAGCCCTCAAACATAGATCAGCACACAGGAAAGTGGACCGAGGCCTCTGACCCACACCGTGTTCTTAGAGGCCACATTTAGAGTTAGCTCTTCAAGAGGTTAGTTTTTAACTGATAGCAAAGCACACATTTGGGAATGCAGGTTTTAAACATACATCACAAAGGTAGGCAAATCTGTGAATATTTTAAAAGACTGCCAATATACTCACAGTTTTTTCATTATTTTCAAAAGCTTCTCTTGCCTCTTCAAATGTACAGACTTCTTCTTTGCATTCACGCTCAATGTTGCCCTGTCTTATTTCTTCAAAGAGTCCATTCGCTCTTCGGTAGCGTTTTAATACTGAATTGGCTTTTTCGTCAGTGAGGAAAACTACAAAGAGATATAATAATAAGCATAAAATTGTAATTAAAAATACATGTGGAAAGTTACTGTACAAGATGAAGCCTGCTAGACACTCTTTAGAGAACATAGCTAACACCCTCAACCTCTTTCTCTAGGGCAGCAAGGAAATAACACTCGGCTCTCAACCGCCCCATCTGCTGTCTTCCTCATCACGTGTGTCCTTTCAGTGGCAGTTGCCCTGGGTAGCGACAATGACATGATGAACTATCCTATATCCAGACTTTAGCACATTACTGCCAACCATGGGCGTTTAAATATAGCAATAATGAAACCAGTACACACATGCACTCATTACTATAAGAGGATGCCCCAGGCTTTCTGCTGGTGGATAGCAGCAATGAAATAAAAATCCAGTCTGTGGACTATCAGTCTTTGTTACCCCAACTAAAAATAAATAAAACTCCAATTGACCTAATTATAAAAACCCAAAGCACCTTTACTCATGTGAAAGGAAGAGGTGACAAAATACTACCAAGAAATTAAGATAAATTTGGCCATAATTCATTCCAAAGGATATTAATAGTCATTTTGTTCTAAATGCACTTAGCTTGAATATATTTTGACACTAATATATTTAACCCCATTTTGATGTCCTTCAGAAAAAGAAAATTGTTCTGTCTGACTTGTAGAGGCATTTCATATAAACATTCAAAATGCACATTCATGATACCCAGTAAAATAAGGCAATGGTTATAATGCACACTTGTGGGAAATAATTTTTATGTACAGATTCATTTTAAACTATACTTCAATTACATTTGTCTAAAACGGTCATGCTTGTTTGAAGAGATAAATAGAATGCTACCAGAATTTAATCTTCTGCTAGTGCAAATAAATTAGAAAATACCCTAATCTTAAAGACCTTTGACATGTGACAAGATACATAATAGATCCTTCAGAACATTAAAGAGAAAAAAAAAAGGCCACATTTTGGGGGGCGGAAAAAAACATTTTGAAGTTAAATGAAAATAAGTAAATACTCGTTTAAAAATGGCAACAACAGGAAATGAATTTAAGGTTTACCTCAATTTTAGAAATGTGTATTTGACTTTATAGAGGATATGGATTCAATTCTTAGGATTGTTTAAAATATCCGAATTGATACAAGTTAGATGGGTACACTGAAAACTATGGTACATCTTCCTTCCTTCTGTGCCTCAGAAGGGTAAGTAGTGATAAAAATGGATCACAAAGTAATAAAAAATCATTAGAAGAAATCCTAGAACAGAAAAGGGTGCTGCTGACTTGGAGAGTAGTAGTAGAATTTTCTGCCAGTGCTTTTCAGTTTAGCTGCATGAGCATCTCTTGCTGGACTTGCTATCGCACATCCTCCTGGGCCTACCTCCCAGAGTCTCTGAATGCACAGGGCTGGGGTAGAGCCAAGAAGCTGCACTTCAAGTAAGAGCCCAGGTCACACTGGTGTTGCTGGGCCCACTCCCACAGTTTGAAAACCACTAGTCAAATGGGAGCTCCTTAGAAAACTTGTTCTGAGGAAGGTGTTTGTGGAATGCTGGGACTAACAAATTTAAAAAGACTTTTACTGTATGACTTTTTAGGACTCTTACTATGTATTTAATATATATTTGAAATCTCCAGAAAACAAACACAACACATGCGTATGTCACATTTATTTGACTATGGAGCCCTTTTCCAAGGGACATTTCACTGAATTAACAACTTCCTAGTCACTGGTTTTATCTATGGCAATGACAAACAATTCTCTTCCATATAATAGGCCAACTAATACATGAAGACGGTAACTGACTCCCTTGAGGCTTCTCTTTTCTAGGATAAACATGTCTCATTTCTTCATCTGTTGGTCACATATCAGAAAAATACATAGGAGTCCCTGTACCATCTTTATCACATTAAATGCTGTATTCTACACTGAGTGTGGTCTGACAAGTACAAAACTAATCATGGCTATCAGTTTCCATGTTTTTAAACACACTAGATATGTCAATTGTGCTTCCCTGGTAGCTCAGCTGGTAAAGAATCCGCCTGCAATGCAGGAGACCCCGGTTTGATTCCTGGGTCGGGAGATCCACCAGGGAAGGGATAGGCTGCCCACTCCAGTATTCTTGGGCTTCCCTGCTGGCTCAGCTGGTAAAGAATCCACCTGCAATGTGGGAGACCTGGGTTCGATCCCTGGGTTGGGAAGATCCCCTGGAGAAGGGAAAGGCTGCCCACTCCAGTATTCTGGCCTGGAGAATTCCATGGACTGTGTAGTCCATGGGGTCGCAAAGGGTCAGACATGACTGAACAACTTTTACTTTCAGATATGTCAATGAAGTCTAAGGCTTCCTTGGCTTTTGGGGAGAGTTTTCTTGAAAATAAACTGATCAATAATACTGTATTTTAAGCTTTTAAGAGGGAAAAAACCCTAAATTCTCCTAAGGGAAAATCTTACATGCTGTCTACATTGAAAAATGTGTCAAGGAAAGCAGCTGACTCCTAAAATCAGAATGCAGGCTAATTCAGAAGATCACATAACTACAAGGTAATGTACAGCAGGACACAGCCCTTCTAATTCCAGCTTAACCAAATTACCAAGAGCATTCTACAAACACCTCCTGTGTATTTCTTGTACTGGAAGGCAATGTGATATAATACTGAGACCTCTAGATGCAATAACCTGGCAATTAGGTTTTTATCTCACTTGCCAAATGTGGTCAGTTAGAAGTTATCACTTGGAATAAGAATCTGACCAGTAGGAAAGATACTGTTACAGATTAGTTGTGTCCTGGGAGAGACTGAAGACAAAAAGGAGAAGGGGTGAGAGAGGATGAGATGGCTGAATGGCATCACTGGCTCAATGGACAGGAAGGAGTCTGAGAAACTCCAGGAGATGGCGGAGGACAGGGAAGCCTGGGGTGCTGCAGTCCATGGGGTCACAAAGAGTCGGACACAACTGAGTGACTGAACAACAACAACACATCTGCCATATATTAGGGAACAGGAAATTGTGGCAGAGTATTTGCCAGTGCTAATCAAAGTAATTTGGAAATCTAATGGGTGAAATCAGAATTGGGATCCTTTCTATGTGAAAACAAAATAAGGGAAAGGTGGCATCTTGGACCTATAGGGTAAGATCAGACTATTTCTTCCTAAAACGCTGGGCAAGTTCCATGATGCAGGGGCTTGTGTTTGGACTTAATGTTTGAAACTAAAGTTGATTGCTTTCCTCTACCTCCTTCTCATCAAAATGTGTGAGGTACCCCAGAGCTGTCCAGAATCGTGTATATGCCTTCATCAGAGATGACACGATATGACAAGTATACAGACTAGAAATCTACTCTGAGAACACAACACTGAGGTGGTATTCAAACATATTCTTTTCTCATTAAAATACATAAGGAAAAACCTAAGCTGTTTTCTCTCAATTCAGTTAGGGAACATCCTAAGGAAAATATTTCAACTCTAAGACTGATATACCGCCATAAAATAAGTATATTAATTTAAAAAATAGCTACTTTTTCATAATTTCAAAATGGATAGCTCTCACCCATGCTTTCTCTTCAGAAGAAAACAATAAAAATAAGTGAAATAAGATGATTTCTCAAGTAACTCCCTAAGTTACTCCCTTAAACCAAAATACATAGTCATGTTGCATATTTTTAACACTGCAGGATACCAAAACCGATATTTTAATGTCAAAAATCTTTACCTAGGTAAAATCATGTCCATCTATTTGCTGAAAAACAGCAGATGGCAGGGCCTGAAAGTTAACAGCTCATGTGGAAAATCTCCACTCCACTTATCTAATCAGTTCCTCTCATCTTGGGTCTGAATTTACTCAAAAGCCATTATTTAAAGTGGCAAATGTTTACATTTTTCTTTTAAGTGAGCAAAATTTTTTCTTTAGGACGTGTTTACTGAACACAGACTATGTACAATGAGATCATGACAAGTCACAAAGATCAGCAGGAAATGGCCTTTGCCCTCAAGGTTCTTTGGTGCATATAATGAAGATAAGAGATACAAACAGTTCTACTGGAAGATAAACCAGATATATGCTGTTTGAGGTTAGCAGGCAGGCATATTTCTACTGGGTAGGTGTATTGGTGGATGGGAGAGAGGCCTGGAGAAGGACAAGTGAAAAGTGTATTAGGGCTGGCCTTTTAGGGACATGAAAAGATGGTGAGCAAAGATACCCTACGAAAACAAAAAAAGTGAGTGAGGGCCTAGAATCAAATAAACCTAGGGCCATAAATGAGGAATAATGAGCTTGCCAGTAGGGCCGGAGTTAACCATTCAAAAAAGAGAGGGAAATGGAACTTGAAATGGCTTGATAGCCATGTCATGAGGCACTGAATGTTAGGTTAAAATATTTAAACTATTTGATAGCATTCAAGATTTTAGACCGATACTTCACGGAGAAAAACCTAGAAAAATGTGTATGTACAACAGATTTAGGGGTAGGATGAGGAGAAAATGGAGGAATAAAGACCAGGAAAAAGGCTACTTACATTAGACCAGGTTAAGAAATGATAAGATCATGCTTCAGAATGGTGCCAAAAGGAAGGGAAAGAAAGGGACAGATGTGAAATTTAGGGTTAATATAACCCAACATATAAATATAACTCAATGTGTGATGCCTTTGGCCACTACACCTATCACGTACCTTATTCCTCAAACCAAATTTTGTCATTCTCCATACAGGCTTTTTCATGCCTCCATAGGTCTATACCTAATATTTCCCCTGCCAGGCAAACTCTTATTCTATTCAGATGTGAAGTGAAAGTGTTAGTCACTCAGTTGTGTCCAACTCTTTGCAACCCCGTGGACTGTAGCCCACCAGGCTCCTCTGTCTATGGGATTCTCTAGGCAAGAATACTGGAGTGGGTAGCCTTTCCTTTCTCCAGGGGATCTTCCCGGCCAATAGTCGGACACAACTGAGTGACTAACACACACCATTCAGCTGTAACATCCTCTAAAAATGTTCCCCAGGTTCTACTTCCCACACC